GAATTAAATATTTGAACCTAATTGATAAAAAAACGCGAGGGGGACTGGGATTCCCAGATCTGAAAACATATCATGAGGCTAGTGCCCTTTTGTGGATAAGAGATTGGATGACATTAGAAAATGGAAAAGGCTTGAACTTAGAAGGACATGATCTACGTGTAGGCTGGCATGCCTACACGTGGTACGATCGAGAAAAAAAGGAAAAAAAAATTGGAAACCATTTTGTAAGAGCATCATTATTAAGAGTATGGATGAAATACAAGAATCATTTTTATACTAAAACGCCTCTATGGGTTTCACCGATGGAGGCGTATCAAAGAAGATTACTGGGTTGGAGAGCGTGGCCAATATTAAAGAAGATTACTGGGTTGGAGAGCGTGGCCAACATATAGAGATATACTAGTGAGGAATACTATGGAAATTAAATCCTTCCAGCAAATGAAAGAAATAAATGGTAATTTGACGTGGTTACACTACTTGCAAATGAAAGAATATATCAAGCAAGACAATAAGATAGGCTTCGCCTGGGAAGAGTCAACTTGGGACAAAATATTAAAGACGAATAAGAAAGTAATTTCAGTTATTTATAATACACTATTAACCTGGCTAACGGAGTGCGAGCAAGTGAAAACATGTATGATAAAATGGGCCGAAAACATAAGAAGACCTATTCAATTTAGGGAGTGGGAGCAGATGTGGAACAAAAAATTGAAATATGTATATGCAACAGATTTAAAAGAAAACTGGATAAAAATGTTCCACAGATGGTACACCACTCCTAAGAAACTATCTTTAATGAACAAGAATACTTCTGATAAATGTTGGAAGGGTTGCCATCAAACAGGTACTTTTTATCATATGTGGTGGACGTGTAAAGAAATAGAGAAGTATTGGACGAAAGTACATGAAGAGCTACAAAAATTTTGAAGAGAGTTTTTAAGAAGAAACCAGAATATTATCTATTGGGATTTACAGATTTGGAATTACAATTAGATGAGAACGAAGATAGACTATTTACCTATGCTACAACAGCGGCAAGAATATTATTGGCGAAGTTTTGGAAACAGGAAGATATCCCTACCACTGAAGAGTGGTTAGGGAAATTAAGAGAAATAAGAGAAATGGATGAATTAACTTTTTTCTTGAAAAAGAATACCGGGAACCCGATAAAGAGGACAGATTGGACTCTATATGAAAATTACGAAAAGGAAATAAATAAATAAGAGGAATACTATGAAGTGGATATAATGGAAATATCATTGAGGACACAACACCTGATGGAGAGATGGAAGTCAATTTTTATTTTATACTTTTTTTTTCTCTTCTTTTCCCCCTTTTTTTTCTTTATTTTGTGTGGCTTTTATATTTTTGTATTTTTTTTTGGTGGACTTGGGGGTAGGGGGATGTATTTCTTACTTTTTTCCTACTTTCCTATCATCTTTTTTAATATTCTCCCTCTTTCGATGTTATTTTTAAAACCTTAATAAAAACTATTATAAAAAAAAAAATTGACCATAGTCACACTGGAGAAGCTGCAGATTCCCAAATTTAACATTTTAATCAAATCAATGAATGTGGGAGGCTGGTGGTACATTATTTCTGTACCATTTTGCTGAGTTATTTCAAAGCAGTTCATACTGGAATGTATTTAAATAAAATGAAGAAAAGCTAAAATGATGATGTCAACATACACATGTATTGATCAATGGAAGACCTAAAGGGAAGCTAAAAACACAGGTAATCATGCAGAATAAAGTCATATGAAGGCTAACCCAGCTTCCTGATAACACCATGGAGTCTTGTTGATCTCGTTTTGGTGGGGGAAGAGGGGGTAAGGGCCACATTAGCCTTCCAAGAGACCTTGGAGTCCTTCACCACTCCCACCGATTTTATTTGCCTCCCAAAATGGCTGGTGTGTGAGGCAATTTTTGGCTCTGGAAAAGCCCTTTTAAAAATAGGAAATGATTTTATTCCCTGGCACTGGCGATGAAAGACATGGCCAACATCTCATAGGATGCATTTGGAGCCATATATTTAACCCGGAGGGGGGGGGGGCACAATTTGCTCCCCCTGATCTAGTAGTGAAATATACTACGGGGCTGCTCGGAAAGTATATTCACACTGTTGCAATGTATGTTCAAAGCTGGCACAGCCTTATTTGAAGATGATGACATGTGCAGAGTCAGTGGGCAGATGACACTGCACTCTCTAACCCCAGCTAGCGTCTTGTAGCAAGGGATATAGTGCCAAAATGATACCTAAGGAAGCCTGGGCAACAGTCAGGGGCAATAACCTAGCGCCATCTTTTGAAATCCATCCTTGAGAAATGAGTGAAAGCCCTGAAGGGCAAAGCTTGTCACTCACTATAAGCAGTTCACAATAAGAGCTCCAGAAGACTGAAATCATGGTCACGTTATTTACCTTAAAGCACAAGTCATTAACATGAATGATGAAGAAAATAAAAATATGTCTGGCCACAGCCAAACCTAAAAAGCACAAAAAATTGCTTCAATCAGGGATTGTTGGGAGTTTCCTGTCCATTGATCTCTTGTTCAAAAATTATATATGAGCACCTTAAGTGGAGGGATGTTGGATTCTTAAGGGGAAGGATTTAATAACAAGACAAGCAAAGGCAACCTGCTAAAAAAGAAGCGTCAACCAATATGCTATTTATTTATTTACCCAATTTATACACCACTTTTCTCAACCCTGAAGGGCACTCAAGGTGGCTTACATATTGCCAATTATAAAATGCCTTAGAGCGACATACAATCCTGATATTACACATTTAAAACATTGTATTCAGTATTAAAACCTTGCCAAATCTGGCTCAGCTAGGTAGAATTAAGAAAGGCAAGGATCACAAAAGCAGCATCAGCAGAGATATCTTCCATTGTTTATATTTACAGGCTACACTAAGTGAAACTCTTAACCTCTGACACTCAGAAATTGAAGAAAATATAACAGCTTTTTGTGTGATTGGGGCCTATTTGAAAGGCTTTGTAGATTCATTCTCTTGTACATTCACTGTCCTGTGTGTCCTTTCATCCTGGCCTCATTTTAAGCAGGCGAATAACGCGTGCTTTCCCTGCAGATGTTTCACAAAACATCAATATTTGCCAAAGGCCAGAACAGATGGTGACTAAAGCTTACCTGCTTCATTTAATCATAAACAGGCCATATTACTGCTCATGAGTTGGAACACAAATGGATTCATATGAAACGGAACTAATTTGCAGAAAATGAAGGAAAGCTGTGTATTTACAGCTCTGGAAATACTGGCACAGACAGCAGAGTATGCTCCTATGTGTATTATGTACTTCATGCGAAAACAACTTCTGCACACATTCAATAAGAGACGCCAAGTGTATTGTCTTTTGAAAAAATTCTATAGAAACTTTAAAAAGGAGTTTAAAGTAAAATTGAAGAAGGAAAGTGAAAACAATTGGGAGTGCTCTGCCAATAAATCAGAGGAAGCGAAATACATATCCTTCAAGTGCTCGTCAAACTAATATGGCTCCAGGTTTGTACTGGGCTTCTAATTTCCCAAAAGAGAAGACTAATTCTTCCCTAATATTTGTGTTTTCCCAGAATCTCATGATCGCTTGCAAGTATAACAAGCCCAATGCTTGGGGTATAACAGCTGAGGATCAAAGCAGGAAAGGAGAGTTTTGAGAAGGAAAAAGTCCAGATTTGTTTACAGATTTCTTACCTCTGGCAGCGCTTCGGAATATTCAGCACTGAAGGAAATACCACATGGGCAATCTTGTGGGCACTGCAGGTTGGAGATCTGTCCACTTCCACTGCTATAGAAAGCATCCTCTGTAAAAGTGCTACTTCCCTAAGTCAAAGAATTGGGAAATGAACAGAGGCACTCAGTCCAATTGCATCTCTTTGTAGGAAGTGATGGGAATCACGTGGTCCTCTAGATGTTATTAATAATGTTGTTCAACTTCCAATTGTGAGTAATGCTGGGAATGGCAGTCCAATCACATGTAGATTGGAATGAATTGGAATAATTCCTCCCACTGTAGCATATGGCCAAAGGTCACCACCATCACTATTGCAGCACAGTCACTTTGGAAGTTATAGAAAACTTGATTTATTGTCTAAAGTGGAATAGACATAGGATTTGTGGATTGCTACTCACTTATGCATACCATGTAAATAAAACTGTGTGACTTCTCTTGAGTTGGGACTCCACACATAAACATAATTTTCGAGATCCACTTCCTATCTGAATGGGTCAGAAAACATGGTATCTGCCAACACTTCTGATCATTTGGACATTATGTGATCCAGATATTGAATAAAGTGCATGATGTAGAAAGTGGAAAGCTACTTGGGGCAACAATCAATCTGCAGTGACCACATTGTTAACAGGACAGAGAGTGCAGTCAAGGAGCATACTGACTGCTTGCTATTGGCATTACCTGGTGGTAGGACAAGGGCTTGCCTCACTCAGGTCCCACAACAGTACTACATGCTCAGGCACCCACGCAAACTCTGCTAACTTTGTAATTTATATTTTAAATTAGCAGTCAGATCCAAATGCTCTCAGATAAAGCAGTGGTGCAACTAGAGACTATCCTACGTTAACAGATATTCTACCACTCTTATTATTATTATTATCGTTCGTATTTATACCACACTTTTTTTCCTTAGAAAAAGAGACTAAAAGCTGCTTACAGTAAAAGCAAAGTAATATAAAATTTTAAACCTAGACATATACAAAAATTATAGTAGGAATAGATATTATTAAAAATAAACAGTTAAAACCCTTAAAACTGATTAAAAACAAGTTTAGAATAATCGATTGACTGGATTAATTAGAATTTAATGTCATGAAGCACTAACAATTTCATGAGACCCTGAGCACATATTTTCGTAACTTATAACGTAACTCAAAAGGCAGGAAACATTCTGTACCTTTGGTTTACTTAATAAAGGTATCACCCAAATGTGCACTTTGGATTTTGGTTCACAGTCACCACAGCTAACCCTGCATTTCATTTTGGATCATCATCAGAGAAATCTATAGTGAAGTTCAAAAAGAGGAAACTGCTTACGTTTCAGTCTGCCATGGCAAAGAGGCATCTTCCCTTTGTGTACTCTGGTCAAAGTGCAAATCTAGTGTGAAGCCGCTGCTCTTGTCCTGGGATGTTTCTAATGAAAGACTTCTGGCATTCTGCAAATTTCTGCATTCAGAAAGCTTTCTTCCAGTGACTGCAGATATTAACCATTCAATCACTTCCCTGAGACAAACAGAGTGATGAGTTAGGGATGTGCTTCATGTGTCCTTTTGCCAAGTGCTTTGAAACACAAGAGTGGTAAGCAGTTCTAAACACTATATAGAAACATTCATGGACTTTACAAGCCTTTATAGCAATTGGCATCCTTCACATACAATCTTACTTAAAGATTGGACAACGTCTGAAACCATACTTCTAATGAAGAAAGGAGACACAGAAAACCTTAGCAACTACTGTGCTATTACACTCCTCTCTCAACTATATAAATTGTTCACAAGGATCCTGCTACAAAGAATATCTCAAGATGTGGAAATCAATAGAGAACAAGCGGGCTTCAGACAGTGGTTAAGCTATTTGGCCAGAAATGGGAAAGAAAAGCACAGGATTGTATATTTTGGCAAATCGTAGATTTGTGTGAAGCCCAAAGGAATGGATCGACAACTAATAGGATAGGACCACCCATTTTGACTGAAGATCATAGTTACTTTATGTTACTGGAACAGTAGTCACAGGAAAGCACTGCTTTGGCAATGGATCTGTGCAGACGGCCAATTCTGATTGTTCTCTGGAAGTCATCTTCTAAGGTCTGAATTACATACTTCAAGAACAGGAGTCGTCCAGGAAATTTTCCTTCCTGATGGAAATAAGACAATGGCAGAAACAGAATTAGAAATTACTATGTCTGGTCCTTTCATATAATAGCGTTCAACATGGCAAACAACAGACATGATCTACTGGGAAAAACTGATAGTCCCAAGCCGCTATGTAAATGGTCTATTAATGCACAAGGCAAAAAGATGAACAAATCTCATTCCCCAATAGAGGGAAAAGCTCTTTGACCTGAAAGAGCTTCAGATGGCACAGGACAGTGAGAGTGGTTTCTCATCACAAGCCTATTTTATGTCTCTTCACACACTTAGTTCTGGGACATGTAAACAAAGCTTGATCTGGAGCTATATAGAATACACAATGCCTTGTATAATATTTATTCTGCTATGTTAGCTCAAAGAGGGGCAAAATCTATGTAGTGTATTTAAATCTGTGCTCAAAATCCTGTATGATTCCTTTTCAGACTGAACCAAGCATAACTCACAAGCACTCTGTATCATCATACAGTCAAGAAAGCAAAGCAGATGTCCTTAGCATGCTGAAGTCTGGACTCTCTCTCTCTCTCTCTCTCTCTCTCTCTATATATATATATATGAATAACATACAAAGCAAGCAGCCATCTACTAAAATCACTGAGAGAGAGAGAGAGAGAACGATAAAACACAAACAAAATCCTTGCATTTTTCTGCACCTTTATGAATCTGAAATATGAGGTGTACAATGCCTTTCAGTTCAAAAGATTGACTGTATAATGGCCAAGCTACCTGTAATAACAGCCACGTTTTTATCACCTAACATGACTGTTTTTAATTTGGAGGGAAAGCAGTCATAAGGGCCTTAATGCTGAGAGTGTTCCTGGACTCGAGAGACCTGTGCTACTTTTCCACTGAAAATCATCCTTCCTAATTCCATGAACAGGGCCTGATTTATGAGCAAGCTAAAACTGCTGTTGTTAAGGGCCTCAGATTGTAATGGGATCTCTAAATAAAAATATACAGCCCTCCCTAATAGTTTTGACTTACTGAAAGGGAAGCAAATTAATAATTGTGAAAAGGGGGAACTCAAGACTATAAAATTCACTATACAACTCTAGGATATTGCATAATTATTCAGGCATTTATTGTATTTCTTCTATTCTAAGGCTCACTTTTTTCCCTAGAGAAACATCTCCTAAAATGGGGTGCATCTTATAATCAATGCTCTCTTACAACTGAAGCAAACGGGACTTATGTTATGCCAGATCTTGGGCATTGCCCTTAATGACCATTATTCATAAATCAAATTTATCTTGAAATGAGAATACTATAGCAATAACCTAGCCTGAAGAAAGCGGCATTCGATTTTTTGTTAGTCATAAAGTATGAATCATAGAAGAATTCGATACTTAATGGGACACACACACATCTCATGGCTAGACTTTAGCACTGTTGGGAGCATAATAACATGCAGCTCACCTTGTCTTAAAACTACTAAAGCTGCTTTGAATATCCTTGTGGAGAGAAAAAGTGGGATATAAATAAAATAATAATAATAATAATAATTAGAAACAGAACAAGGTGAGTCAATAGCAGACAAGATTACTCTGCTGGTTGTTGCATTGGATCACACGTCGGACACTTCCCAAGTGTCTAGGACTGTGTGATGTATCGGCAAATAATGCATGCAGATCCCAGTCAGGTGGCCTTCTGCAGCTGGCAAATGGTAATTTTGACAGCGCCGATTGTGTTTAAGTGCAGGGCAAGGTTTTTAGGCACTGCACCCAGTGTGCCAATCACCACTGGGACCACCTTGACTGGCTTGTGCCAGTCTTTGCAGTTCGATCTTTAAATCCTCATATTGTGTCAGCTTTTCCAGTTGCTTCTCTTCATGATTATTATGATTATGATTATTTTACTGACACAAAAACACAGTATGTCACAGCAAACGAGATCTATATGCTGGATTTCGTATCACAAAATCACAAGTTGAACACTTCCCAAGCGCCTAGGACAGTGTGATGTTTTCGAATGACGCATGCAGATCCAAGTAAGGTGGCCTTTTGCAGTTGACAGATCATGATTTTGTCAATGTTTATTGTTTCCAAATGCCAGCTGAGGTCTTTTGGCACGGCACCCAGTGTGCCAATCACCACTGGGACCACCTGTACTGGTTTATGCCAGAGCCTTTGCAGTTCGATTTTGAGGTCCTGATAATGGCTGAGTCACCTGGTATGGCGACATCAATAATCCAAACTTTTTTCTTTTCCACAATTGTGATGTCTGGTGTATTGTGTTCCAAAACTTTGTCAGTCTGGATTCCAAAGTCCCACAGTATATTTGCAGGTTCATTTCCCACTACCTTTGCAGGTTTATAATCTCACCAATTCTTTACTGCTGGTAGGTGGTACTTGTGACATAAGTTCCAGTGAATCATTTGGGCCACAAAGTTGTGCCTTTGTTTGTAGTCCGTCTGTGTGATTTTCTTGCAACAGCTGAGGATATGATCCATCGTTTCATCAGCTTCCTTGCACAGTCTGCATTTTGGGTCATCTGCTGATTTTTCAATCCTGGCCTTAATGGCATTTGTTCTGATGACTTGCTCGTGGGCTGCAGGAATCAGACCTTCTGTCTCCTTCTTCAGTGTTCCATTCGTGAACCATAATCACGTCTTCTCCTTATCAACTTTTTCTTCAATTTTGTCAAGGAACTGCCCATGAAATGCTTTGTTGTGCCAGCTGTCAGCCCTGGTTTGTAGTGCAGTTTTCTTGTACTGGTTCTTTGTCTGCTGTGCTTTGAGATGTTTCTGATTATTGACTTCAATTAAAGCAGGTTCTTGGCTTTCCTTTACATATTCTGCCAGGGTGCGTTTTTCTTCTTTGACTGCTTGTTTTACTTGAAAAAGTAAAAGTAGGCAGATAGAGCTGATCAACATCACTGCAAGGATGTAGTGAATAGTCATGTGTTTCTTGTTTTTCTGTCCAAATTGTCCAGTTCTGCCTGCATCCAGTTTATGATGCCAGCAGTGTATCTTATTACAGGTATGGCTCAGGAGTTTATGGCCTTGATGGTGTTGCCTCCATTGAGATTGCTTTTGAGATTTTGTCTGACTCTTTGAATGTATTCTTTGCTGACCACACTTTTCACGTGTTAATGTTTGATGTTGTCCATTTGTAGTATGCCAAGATATTTATAGGCCTCTGGCTGGTGGCACTTTATTGCTTTCTGGTGTATTGTGTTCCAAAACTTTGTCAGTCTGGATTCCAAAGTCCCACAGTATATTTGCAGGTTCATTTCCCACTACCTTTGCAGGTTTATAATCCCACCAATTCTTTACTGCTGGCAGGTGGTACTTGTGACATAAGTTCCAGTGAATCATTTGGGCCACAAAGTTGTGCCTTTGTTTGTAGTCCGTCTGTGTGATTTTCTTGCAACAGCTGAGGATATGATCCATCGTTTCATCAGCTTCCTTGCACAGTCTGCATTTTGGGTCATCTGCTGATTTTTCAATCCTGGCCTTAATGGCATTTGTTCTGATGGCTTGCTCCTGGGCTGCAAGAATCAGGCCTTCTGTCTCCTTCTTCAGGGTTCCATTCATGAGCCATAACCAGGTCTTCTCCTTATCAACTTTTCCTTCAATTTTGTCAAGGAACTGCCCATGAAATGCTTTGTTGTGCCAGCTGTCAGCCCTGGTTTGTAGTGCAGTTTTCTTGTACTGGTTCTTTGTCTGCTGTGCTTTGAGATGTTTCTGATTATTGACTTCAATTAAAGCAGGTTCTTGGCTTTCCTTTACATATTCTGCCAGGGTGCGTTTTTCTTCTTTGACTGCTTGTTTTACTTGAAAAAGTAAAAGTAGGCAGATAGAGCTGATCAACATCACTGCAAGGATGTAGTGAATAGTCATGTGTTTCTTGTTTTTCTGTCCAAATTGTCCAGTTCTGCCTGCATCCAGTTTATGATGCCAGCAGTGTATCTTATTACAGGTATGGCTCAGGAGTTTATGGCCTTGATGGTGTTGCCTCCATTGAGATTGCTTTTGAGATTTTGTCTGACTCTTTGAATGTATTCTTTGCTGACCACACTTTTCACGTGTTAATGTTTGATGTTGTCCATTTGTAGTATGCCAAGATATTTATAGGCCTCTGGCTGGTGGCACTTTATTGCTTGGCCATTGGGCATATTTATGCCCTCATTTTCAATTATTTTTCACATCTTCAGTGCCACTGTCGAACATTTGTCCAAACCAAACTCCATGTTGATATCAGTGCTAAAGATTCGGACAGTGTTAGTCAGAGACTGGATTTCAGTTTTGGTTTTCCCATACAGCTTCAGATCATCCATGAATAATAATAATAATAATAATAATAATAATAATAATAATAATAATAATAATAATTTATTATTATTATTATTATTATTATTATTATTATTATTATTATTATTTTGGGATTTCTCTGGGAGGCAATATTCTACAACCTGTAGACAATAGACATCAATGTCTTCCTTATGCCTATGACTGCCAGCACTTGGCTAGTGGTCATGCTGGGAGCAACAGTGGGTATCATAAGTGGGTTGGTGTTATGGGGGGGGGGGCAAATTCCTTCCACGAACTTCATTCAGCCATAGCATGTCTTAATTTGGTAGCCTTTTCTTCAGGTCTGCATTCATTCAGACCTACTCTATAGTCCCATGAGAAACAGTGCAAAATGACATTTCCGCAGCCCAGTTACTAACAATAAATATCAGCTAGATAGGTTTTCCTCCCCATTTTCTTCAGGAAACCTAAGTCCAACTGTATTGGTCTGATGTGGTTCAAATTGGCTTGTTTGCAAAAAAAAACAGTACATGAATGTCTCAGCGGCAAAGTAGAGGTAGGCAAAACTGAAGTTTCTTAAAAGCCACCCTTTCCATACAAGCAGGACATAATCAACATACCTCCTCTTCCATGACTTCGCGTAGCAGTGGCCAGTCCCAAACCACAGTGTCAACCTTTGCGGGATGAAGTCTAAAATTTAGAATTAGACCAGTTATACTACTGTCCTCTGTCCTCGCAAAAAAAAACCAAAACAAAACAAAACACCAAACAAACAAACCCTAGTATAAACCACATTACAAAACAATATCTGTATATAGGTCATTGTGTTTGTAGGAGGCAGGTCTTAATCTTTGGCTGTAATTATCAGAGACAATTAGATAACTCTTCTAAAGGAAAACAGACATTTTATTATCAACTACATGTTTTGTTCCTTTCAATTAGCAATTACTACAGGGGAACATCTGGATCCCTTGATTATGGAACTGACCTAGTTGAACTCACAACAATGAAAAAGCAACTATTACATGAGTTATTTCCAAAAAAATGCACATAGTCATTAATTTTCTTAAGTCAGATCTAGTCAACTGTGGGAAGCAATGAGGCTGCTTTAGCTCCCCAGGAGACCTTGGCAAGCTGCTACCTGAAACCCTGTAGTAGGAAAGGGGGAAGGCATGCTTGCCACCATTTTATTCTCCCTGTGCTGTTTGAGGAAAGGCTTTTTAAGGAACAGTAAATATTCTAGAAAGGCATCTTCCGAATCCAAAATGACCTTAATGAATTAGAGCTAGGCCAAAACTAATGAAATGACTTTAAAAGGAAGAAATGTAATACACTTCGGTAGGAAAATGAAATGCACAGGTATAGGATGGATGACATTTGGCTTGAAAAAAAGTATATGTGAAAGGGATCTAGGAGTCTTTACAGAACGCAAGTTGAACATGAGTCAACAGTGTGATGCAGCAGCTAAAAAAGCTAATGCAATTCTAGGCTGCATCAATAGGAGTATAGTATCAAGATTGAAGGAAGTCATAGTCCCACTCTATTCTGCTTTGGTCAGACCTCACCTGGAACCATACTGTGTCCAGTTCTGGGCACCACAATCCAAAAGAGATATTGACAAGCTAAGGTGCTCAAAGAAGAGCAACTATAATGATCAAATGTTTGGAAGCCAAGCCCTATGGAGAGAGGGAGCTGGGTATGTTTTGTTTGGAGAAAAGAAAACTGAGAGCAGACATGATTACCCTGTTTAAATATTTGAGAGGGGGTCACATTGAGGAGGGGCAAGCCTGTTTTCTGCTGCTCTGGAGACTAGGTCATGGAACAATGGATTCAAATTGCAGGAAAGGAGATTCCACCTGAACAATAGGAAGAACTTTCTGATGGTCAAAATTGTTCAGCAGTGGGATGTGCTGCCTCAGAGTGTGGTGGAATTTCCTTCATTGGAGGTTTTGAAGCAGAGGCTGGATGGCCATTTGACGGAAGTGCTGTGACTGTGTATTCCTGCATGGCAGTGAGTTGGACTGAATGGCCCTTGGGGTCTGCCAACTGTATGATTCTATGATTTCCTGGGCCTGAAATGGTTAGACAGCAATGAAAGAATGGTGGAAAATGCCCCCCATATGGGATTTGAGGTAACATTAGTGGTGGGCTGCACAAAATGTTCCAAATGGCTGCATGCTACCTGCATTATATCTACTCCGTCCTTGTGTGATCTGCTACAAACAGTCAAAGTTAGGGTCTTAATTTCTATCATGGGCACAAAGTCAAGGTGAGGATTCTGAACTGAAAGCACTTTTGATTCCATGCTAAAAGGCACCAAATATAAGAAATGGGAAACATACGCTTGAATTTTCACCAACAACGTGTAAGCATCCTTCCGTATATCTTCCTGTATGTTTTCATTCTTTGGGCCCAGCAGGATCTTCCTCACCACACATGAGGTGACTTCTTTTGGAGGATAGTACCGGGAGGACACATAATCCATAAGGGAGTCCAAGGTTCCGTGGAAGAAGTTCTCTTCAATAGTGCTGGAGACCATGGACAGTTTCCGACATGGGATAGGATTCGGTTTCAGCTGCTTGTTCTATGCATTTAGAATGACAACAGAATTGCATGCCATACCCGAGCAACAGGTTTATGATATGGAAATTGATTTTCACAAATTTTTAAAAAGCATTATTTTTCTATGAAAAATATTACAACATTTAGAAATGCATTGTTTTGTAAAACAAATTATGATTGATTGTTCAGAATGAAACTGGGATGGATTCTATATTAATCGCACATAAAACAATGTCATAATCAACTTTTTCAAACATGGAAACATGTTTGAAACATATAGGTCTCATATATGTATTAGGAAACATATATGTCTCTTTCCTTCTGAAGACCATACACAAAGAGATGCCGCATTGTTTGTCAAGGCAGTTTCATTCCAAACAGTAGTCCTGTAACCTTAAGTTAAGGGGAAGCACTAAAATGGCTCATGGAAGTTCTTCACGGGGTCAGTGCATAGTTTCTTCTGTACACTGATCCCATGAAGAACCTCCATGAAGCATATAGGCTCATAAGTCAGAGCTTTCAGGAGGAAAGAGACAAGATTGACTTACTGATTCATCTTGAGAGCTAACCTGAAAGAGAAAATTCCAAGGAGAAATCAATAAATATGCTCTCCTCACCAAAGACCTGTCAGCGTGTCAAGCATGCATCATGAGTAGGAGATTGAGCTCATCCAAACTGGCCAAATCTTTTGGGAGATCTTTTTTTAAAAAACTCCTGAAATTTCTGTTTCATGTAACAGAGCATTTATTATCACTCTGTACTGCATCTAAAAAAGTGTGTTTGTATCTATGAAAGCTTGAGTAAACAAAAATAAAACAAAACACACGGTCCTAAAGATGCCGCTACCTTCCTTTTCTCCTTCCCCCTTCCCTTTTAACCTCTGATAATGGTTCTCAACATTTAGCCCTCCATATATTTCAGATTTCAGTTCCCCAAATCCTCAATCATGCTGACTGTGGCCACTGGGACCTGAAGGGCCCAAGGATGACTACCACTCATCTATAGGGAATATGTGACCTTCTTGATATAGTTAGACTGCAAACCCACACACACACTTCACCTTGTATTTAACTAACAGTTACTGGTTATGGCTCCAACTCAAATGCAATAATCTTTCTTATGTGAAAAATAATCAACCTGGTCCATGGACACTACTAATGTGACATTCCTCCCACAAATACATCTGAGTTGGATATTCCTGCCTTCCGCTCTCTTTGAGTCCTTCAGAAAATGCTCCTGTTTGATGTTCGAAAAATACGGACACTGTGCTGGTACAACTGTACCAGGAGCTCCAACTTTATTTTCTTTCTGTTATCTGTTTTGCAGCCATAGGGCAAGCCTCCTGTCCATCATAATTAAGCTTTGGTTCCTCCCCTTGTTCTCGGCTCTGGGAGGGAAAGGAGCCATTTTGGGGGGAGTCTCACACAAGGTAGCTAAGCTATAGGACATAGACCAGCTCGTCCCGTAGAAAAGCTTCCTTTCTCAATAACGTCCGGGGATACAGAAACAGAAATTCCAGGAGAAAGGTCCCAAAAGCTCTGGCTGAGAGCTCACAGCCTCTCAGCCTCACAGCAACAGAGGGAAAACAGCCCTGAAGTTTCAAAGAATTCTCAGAGGGAGGACAGCATTACAGATCCACTGAACTCCAGCTGAAATATCTTCAAGCCTCGGCTGGTAGGTCTACTCGATAACCAGACGCATTTGGAATCGGTAGTAGGACCCACACCGATGAGGCATAGATAGAAAGCAGCCTGGGAGAGGTTAAAAGGGGTTTTTCCTACAGAGAAAGTTTAATTAATCAAAGTCAGGTACCAGCCCATGGAGGACTAGACTAAGAAAGCCTTGAAGTGTTGTTTGAACCATTGAAGATTTGTTGTTTGTTCCATAATAAAGACTTTGTTGTATCATTAAAGACTCTAAAGACCATCACTTCAGAAAAATCCCTGAGAACCTCTCTTTGAGGCCCCCTGGCTTCCCGCTGGGCTTAAAGTATACGTCCTATAGAAAAGTACAGCTGTTACAGGCCCAGCGCGCGACAGAACATCCACAGTCTACTCTACTCAGGAACTACTCTCTTCTCTAAATTACCTGTGTTTCTTCCTGCACCACATTTTGGAGAAAAGGATGATGTACAGGCAACCCCTGGAAATACCGTAATGTTTTCAACCAAACAGTGATGTCAATCCTCTTAGCTGGTTGCTGGGAATTCAATGTCACAGCATTTGGTGCTAGGTTCTTTGCCTCTAGCAAAGACTGGGCAATTTCTGTTTTGGATGGGGAAGTATCCACAGGAGAGCAGGAGGGGGACAGACTTGGACAATGTCTCTCAGGCAGCAGTGAGGGCTGCAGGGTGGAAGCTCTGTCAGGTGGGCAATGCTTGGGAAGCTCCTCTATACTGTCTTGAAACATTTGACATTCATTGCTCTCATTGGTTGATGAAAAGGAGAAAATGTCTGACTCCAGTTGAGGACTTCCCAAGGAGCCCAAATCACTGTTATAAGTGGTGCGACTGCTGTTTTCCAAGTCTTGGCCACAGTTGGTGGTGGGGGAGAAGCTGCTGCTTTGGAAGCAGGGTGTCTCCAAAGCAGCAGCTTCTCCCTGCTGCTGCTTTGGAGACACCCTGCTTCTCCCTGGCTCTGCATTGAAGAAAACTGGACCACAGTCTCCATTCCACGTGCCAGTAGATGCACCAAGTTGCATCTCAGAGTCTGCCGTAATATGATTTTTAGAAGATCCCTCAGGCTGAGGACTGACTGGGGTGGAGTGTTTTATGTCTTGAGGAAAGTAGCCACTCTCACGAAGAGGGCTGACTGTAATTTTCTCAGTCTCTGTCAGATCAATCACATCCAAGTCACTGTAAGTGGTTGTTCTTACAATAAAGCAGTCATCTCCGGTGAGATCGATAACCTCCTGCATGTAGAAAGGGGAGGAAGAGCAGAAAGAAATCTTTAAAAGATATATCTCACCACATAAACCAGTTAGATGAAACAGAGACTCTAAGAAAAAATACAACAGTTAGTTAGCTAGCTACAAACCCTCGAGCATATGTCACCAACCTAGTCCACCTCAGTGTTTTGGACTACAACTACCATCTGTTCCATAATATCTGAAGGCTGCCCTGGAGACTGCTCTATCCCACAGGACTAATTGAGAACGTTCTTATAAATGCCAGTACTAGAGAAAAGCTGCCACAAAACCTCTCCAGAAAAATTCTCTTTGGAAGATGCCTCCATGACAGATATTGCCTTCTTTGTTTGGCCGTGCTATTTGGTCTTCCAGTTTGGGAAGGATTTTGCTTCCTTGGGTTAATAGCCAGTCATATACAACCCCCCCCCGCCCCCCCCCCAAAATCAGGCTCATATCCCTTTTATTTATTGGTATACAAAAAGTATAGTAGGAGGAAACAGTCATCTCATGCTCGATCTCTCCTATTCTTCTTTCATGAGATCATGGTGTACTGTGCATATAGGTTGGGAAAATGCACATGCATGTGCACACACTGAGTACATTAATCCTATCTGGCTTTTCAGTATGCAGAAAACCTCAATGCATTATGAGGTGAGATTACATGTGCAACATTATCTTGTGTTCAGTGAGAGGAACTGAGGTGTCACCATGTGCACCACCTCAGGATAGCAAATTCATCTTCCCAATGCTATACAATTGCTTTCTCTAAACTAGCATCTTCCAAATCGGTTGGAAGGGGCCAAAAGCATCTGGAAGATCAAGGTTTGGAAACCACTGACCCAGGGGATCAGTTGACACTGTAACCCCAGGAACTTTACAGCATGGTTTGTTTGGGAATGATTTGGCTCAACGGGTGGTTGGGGATTGTGTAACTACCTACCACCAGATAAAGAGGAACATCATTTGGAAACCACTTTGGAAAAGGACAAAAAAGATGTGCTGAAAAAGTAGCCAGAGTAATCCATTCTTTCAGGAAAGAAATGATCTGGTTTTTATTGTAGCATGAGCTTTCGTGGATATAAATCTGCTTCATCAGATGCAGTACAAAGTGGCATTAAGTAAAAAAAACCATATTGATGCAATTGTGCAATTGTAATGGAATGAATTAGGATCCAGAAAGATTTAATCCATGGAAGCTGTCTTGGTCCTAAACCAATGCCTGCCATTATTAATGGACTGAGTAAAAGTGAACAAACTGAAATTGAAACCAAATAATAGAAATGTGCCGTTACGCCCAGACGCTTTAAAATAAAACTTTGACGTGCTGCTATCTAGGTCTGGGCAAACTGCTGGGGTCTTTCTTTAGAAGATTGAGCTTTCTTGAATAACTGAGTCCACTTCAAGTTTGAAACATCAAACAGGGTATTTATTCACGAAGTCCTGGTAGACTTAGCTCAGTTTATCAATATTACAAAACAAACAGTCAATTGGGGTTCAGTAGTTGAGGCAATCTTTCTCCAAAAAGGGTATCTCTATAACTATCTAGATAATCCTCTATAACTATCTAAATAGTTCTCTTTTAATCTATCTATCTCTAACTAAATAACTCAATCAAACTCAATTGTTTTCTATCTATGACTCAATTGTTTTTACAATGATATCTTCGGAGGTACCTGTCTGCCAACAGCACATCATGAATTCTTCCTTAAGACTGAAGGGGCAGGGAGACCTCCAAAATGGATGCTTCTACCCTGGAAGCAGGGGCGGGCCCAAAGAGCTACTCTTTGGCCAATCATTGCAGAGAGCCTGCAAACTGGCTTTCCTGCCTCTGTCTGCTAACCTTTTAGGCCTAGCAAAGGCTGCAGCAGCCTGGGATAAACACAAGGAGAGGCTGTTTCCAGCAACTAAAAGGTAATGCAAAACCCATGCTCCTGGGAGACGGAACAAGAAAGATGCTCCTAGTGAGTAAAAACACAGTTCAGGGAACAGTGATTCAGCTTGTACTGGATGGCTTTACATTACCCTGGATGCTCAGATTCTGGCAGGGCTGGAAATGCATTTCCACTGTTACCACATTTACTCAAATGTAATGCAATTTTTTTTTGGCTTCACTGCTTAACCAAAATGGAGATGCACATTACATTTGATGGTGGTTAGAATCGTGCATCAAAAGGTGCCTGCACCTTCCCATCAGGCTAAGGGTGTGGATTCATCATCCTCTGCCTGATGGAGGAGCAGGGGCTTCCCAACCGGCCTCATTGAGGTGCACATTACAATAGATGGAGCACTAGATTCGAGTAAATATAGGTAAATCTTGGGTGACACAGTTTCAGATGTTTCAGTCACCTCCTTGAATCATTATTGTAACACACTCCACATGGCATAAGCCAAGGTTCTAGGCTTATGGAAAGCCATACTTTTAACACAAACAAGCCAGAATCTAAAAATCAAAAACAAACTATGGGTTTAAATCAGTGGTCCATGGATCACCAGTGGTCTGCAAGAACAAAAATATGGTACGCGGCCTCACTGTTTCAACGAGTGACTGGTCTTGCAAAACCTTCTTAGAGTGCAAAGGCTTATTAAATATGGTTTTCTGTGGGCAAACAGATGGCAACTACTGGATGGCATATGTTCTGTATCAGAAACTAGAGCTGATGTGGTCTATCCAATACAATTTTCTGAATGAGCATCCCAAATAACCAAACCTATTCTAAAGTTGACCAAAATCTGATTTGTAACCTTTTTGGTACTAATATTGGAGAGTGGTCCCTGGTCAAGTGGTCTCTAGTCAAAAAAAAGGTTGGGAATCACTGCTTTAGATTGTGCTCTGAGGCTTGTTAAAAGTCACTGTATGTTAGTTAGCAGAGACAGGTCATTATATCAAAAGCCTGATTTCAGCAATCCACACAATGATTTCTTGTGACAAATGAGCCAGTCGATATAACAATCAGGGACAGCTAATCACCTCTGAAAAAAAGATTCCCTCAGGCACTAACAAGCCACACCAAATAACTGCCAGGCCATCAAATGCTAATCAAGGTGATCAGTTGAAACATTCACACCTAGCTCCAGCAGACAAGAGTACTTTGTCCCACCCTAGTCATTCCACAGATATATAAACCCAATTTTGTTAGTTCCAACAGACCTCTTTACCTCTGAGGATGCTTGCCATAGATGCAGGTGAAATGTCAGGAGAGAATGCCTCTAGAACATGGCCATATAGCCAGAAAAAACCTACAACTACCCAGTGATTCCAGCCATGAAAGCCTTCGACAATACAAAGGCTGAAATTATGGTTGAACATTAATATTCATAATGGTATATATATATATATAAAAGGACCCGCTGTCAGTGCTCACCATGAGGGAGGTCATTAGGGGGCAAAACCGCTCTAAACACAGGATCACAGTTTAAACACAATTCCAATATACTAGATTTGGAACCAAAAAGAATGTGCCCAACTGCCAAGCCATCCTTACAGTTTTATCTTTCCTTGCTGGAACTTTTCAGGCATTTGAAAGCTGCATCGGAATTAAAGGGCCAAGAAAATTCCATTTCACTAGGGACCATATCCCAGCCCCCTTCATGTTTTAAAACAGCTATAATCCATTTAGGTAATTAAAAAGTGTCAAAGTCAATCCTACGATGTAGGTGGACTTCCTGTCTGCCAGTCATGCTCCGTAATGTAAACATCTAAAACAGTCCCAAAAAAGGGAGGGGGGCGAAGATGATTGTTTCACTGCTGCCTGATGTTGATGTCTAAGAATGTTATCATTTGATTTATGGTTTGAAAATTTATTTGATGAAACTATTCTTCATACCATTGCTATTTATTAATCAAATTAAATCAAATTAAATTGGTGTCCATTATCCCCTTCATTATGGCAGTGTAGAAGGAGCCTTAAAGCCTCAGCTTCAAAATCCCCATTTGGTACTTTTGAGTCAAATAGCGAACGAATAGGTGCCCGCACCTCTTTTGGGCAAAGCAAGGCAGAAAATGAGGGTTAGGATTATGATCTTGTTGTTTGGGTTGCTGTGAGTTTTCTGGGCTGTATGGTCATGTTCCAGAAGCATTCTCTCCTGACGTTTCTCCTGCATCTATGGCAGGCATCCTCAGAGGTTGTGAATCTTTCAAACTGCTTAAATTAGTATTGTGTATTCTGTTTAGATCTTTAGCTGGAAGAATGCTTCTGGAATATGCCTCAGACTGTCACAAGCTCTGAGGATGCCTGCCATAGATGCAGGAGAAACGTCAGGAGAGAATGCTTCTGGAATGCCTCAGGCTGTCACAACCTCTGAGGATGCCTGCCATAGATGCAGGCGAAACGTCAGGAGAGAATGCTTCTGGAATGCCTCAGGCTGTCACAACCTCTGAGGATGCCTGCCATAGATGCAGGCGAAACGTCAGGAGAGAATGCTTCTGGAATGCCTCAGGCTGTCACAACCTCTGAGGATGCCTGCCATAGATGCAGGCGAAACGTCAGGAGAGAATGCTTCTGGAATGCCTCAGGCTGTCACAACCTCTGAGGATGCCTGCCATAGATGCAGGCGAAACGTCAGGAGAGAATGCTTCTGGAATGCCTCAGGCTGTCACAACCTCTGAGGATGCCTGCCATAGATGCAGGTGAAACGTCAGGAGAGAATGATTTTGAAATGCCTCAGACTGTCACAACGTCTGAGGATGCCTGCCATAGATGTAGGCGAAACGTCAGGAGAGAATGCTTCTGGAACATGGCCATACAGCCCAGAAAACTCACAACAACCCAGTGATTCCGGCCTTCGACAATACAAACGATGTTGTTTATTTATACCCCGCTTTTCTCTCCAAGAAGGAGACTCGGTACAGTTCAAAATCTGACACATAGACAAACATGATGCAAACGCTGAGGTAACGGGGAGCGAAGATCAGAGCCTTCCCCGCGCGCGGGAACAGAAGCAGAGCGGAAGTGCCTCCATCTTGGCTGCGGGCAAGCGCAGCCACACTCACCGCGAGTTTCTGTGGGCACCGCCGCCGCTTTCGCCGCGAAGCCTTCTTGCCTGGGACCGGTCCCACATAGAGAACGTCTTCCTCCTCCATGCTGCCTCTCGGCGTGGCCCCGCCCACTAGGGGGCGTGGCCTACTCAGATGGGGAGTGGGGCCAAGAGAAGTTCTCTCCCAGAGCGAGGCCAGGAAGGGCTGGGTGCTTCACCAAGCTTCAACTCCCACTGAAGGAGACGTAGTTTTAAAAGGGAATTTTCAGAGATGTCATTTACTACTGCCATCTCGGCCTGTTTCTGCAATAGGTCTTTGTTTACAGAAAATGCTGATGGTTTGAGACAGCAGTGCTGCAGAGAGGAAGCTACTTGTCAAGGATAACAGTACATCCGGACAAAACCGGCTCGTTAGAACCTCCCAAGTTTCTCAGTTGCTCTGAAGTTATGTTTGCAACAGAATAACAGATTAAGAAAGTATTTATTTATCGTGTCATCCGCAACCAGAACATTGTATTACATTTCTAACAGAACAAAACAAACAAACAGATGAAAAAACCACACAAATTTTGCAATCTTGGTAGCTGATTAAATGTCCTTTGACCAGTATCTGGCCACTTGGAATGCTTCTGGTGTTGCCGCAAGAAGGTCCTCCATCGTGCATGTGGCAGGGCTCAGGTTGCATTGCAGCAGGTGGTCAGTGGTTTGCTCTTCTCCACACTCGCATGTCGTGGATTCAACTTTGTAGCCCCATTTCTTAAGATTGGCTCTGCATCTCGTGGTGCCAGAGCACAGTCTGTTCAGCGCCTTCCAAGTCGCCCAGTCTGTGTGCCCAGGGGGGAGTCTCTCATCTGGTACCACCCACGGATTGAGGTGCTTGGTTTGAGCCTGCCACTTTTGAACTCTCACTTGCTGAGGTGTTCCAGCGAGTGTCTCTGTAGATCTAAGAAAACTATTTCTTGATTTAAGTCGGTGACATGCTGGCTGATACCCAAACAAGGGATGAGTTGGAGATGTCTCTGCCTTGGTCCTTTCACTATTGGCTGCAATTTCCTGGCGGATGTCAGGTGGTGCAATACTGGCTAAGCAGTGTAATTTCTCCAGTGGTGTAGGGTGCAGACACCCTGTGATAATGCGGCATGTCTCATTAAGAAAGTCATGGTCAGAGAACAATAGACTAGAGTTGTGTCCTTGATGTCAATCAATTTGGAGTGGGGCCAAAGAAAGTTCCCTCTGGTGCTTCTTTTAAAGAAGAGGAAGCTGCCAAGCGTCTCCCAAAGTGAGGCGTTGTAGGCTCGATATTTGTGTGCCCGAAGGCAAAGGGATGCTGGGTTGTTGTGAGTTTTTCGGGCTGTGTGGCCATGTTCCAGAAGCATTCTCTCCTGACGTTTCACCTGCATCTACGGCAGGCATCCTCAAAGGTTGGGAGCCCAGAGCAGGCCTGCAGCCAGGATTTTTATTTTGGGGGGGGGGGGGGGCTGAGTCTGAGTGAAAGAGGGTCTACCCTAGCAAACCTTTTGTATCGTTACCCCAATACCCCCATGCATATGGGATATATTGAGCATGGTGATCAGATCATGATATGAATAAACATGTTTAAATAATGTAACAGTAAGGTCTTTTCGTGGACCACCACGAGAATTTCGGGGGGGGCTGAACCCCCCCCCCCCCCCCCCCCGCTACATGCCTGGTCCAGAGGTTGAATCAATCCGTGAAACATGATTCAGTCAGGGCCAGGTAACACCTCCCAGCAAAGGATTCCCCTAGACAGCAACGATCCAGGCTTTGAAGCTGCAAGGCCATTAAATGCTAATCACGGTAGCCAATTGCAACAGTCACACTTGCCTCAAGAGTTCTTTCTCCTATCCTGGACATTGCAGAGATAGCTAAACCCCGCTTGTCTTGTTTCCAGCAAAGCTCACTACCTCTGAGCCTGCCATAGCTGTGGGTGAAATGTCATACTGCATTTTTTATACCAGTGCTTCTCAACCTGTGGCTCCCCAGGGGTTTTGGCCTACAACTCCCAGAACTCCCAGCCAGTTTAGGATATCTGGAAGTTCAAGGCCCTCAGGGGATGAGGCGAGGCCCACTCCCAACCCGGGCCATAGCTTTCCCTTGTCCATTCCAGAGGAAGGCACAGGCGCGAGCAGTGACGTCACGGAGGCGCGCCCTTTCTGTCCCGGAAGCGGAAGGCGCGCGGGCTGAGCGTCCGGGGTGGGGTTGCCATGGCGGCGCCGTCCTCTCCCTACGTGCAGGCCATGCAGGAGCTCTTCCGCGCTAACACGCGCAGTCGCGAGTTCCCGGCCCACGGCGCCAAGGTCCACTCGGTGGCCTGGAGCTGCTGCGGCCGCCGCCTCGCCTCCGGCTCCTTCGACAAGACCGCCAGCGTCTTCGTGCTCGACAAAGACCGCCTGGTAAGCGGCAGAGGGATGTGGGCCGCGCCCGCCCGCCCAAAGCCTCCTCGCCTTGCCTCCATCACGGCCAGTGTTCTTCGCAACTTGATGTGACGCTGCTTAGGCCCATCTACACGGTCCCATTTAAAAGCAGGCCAGACAGCAAACTCCCACCAAAGCGCATGAAAAGCCCTTAATACGCATTAGTGCTCGGTGGTCTGTGTAATCGCCACCCGGACCCCAAAACTGGTCCCAGGTTCTCCCATGCTAAGCAATCGCATATGCTTTCAAACCACTTTCTTCCCTACTGCGTTAAATGGTCTGTGTAGATCAGTGATTCTCCAGGTGTTTTGGACTTCAGCTCCCACAATTCCTAACAGCTGGTAATAATAATAATAATAATAATAATAATAATCTTTATTTATACCCCGCCACCATCTCCCCAATGGGGAGTGGATGAGGGATTTGAGGACAAGCCCAAACTGAAAATTACAAAAAAATAAAACCGAAAACGCAAACAATAAACAACAAACAACATAATTACATAAAACATATGATAGCAATATAAAATTACAATATGCACAATCACAATGAAAATGAGCTTATTTATTTATCGTGTCATCCGCAACCAGAACATTGTACTACATTTCTAACAGAACAAAACAAACAGTAAAAAAACACAAATTTTGCAAACTTGGTAGTTGATTAAATGTCCTTTGACCAGTATCTGGCCACTTGGAGTGCCTCTGGTGTTGCTGCAAGAAGGTCCTCCATGTTGCATGTGGCTGGGCTCAGGTTGCATTGCAGCAGGTGGACAGTGGTTTGCTCTTCTCCACACTCGCATGTGGATTCCACTTTGTAGCCCCATTGTCTTAAGATTGGCTCTGTATCTCGTGGTGCCAGAGCAGTCTGTTCAGCGCCTTCCAAGTCGCCCAGTCTTCTGTGTGCCCAGGGGGGAGTCTCTCATCTGGTATCAGCCACGGATTGAGGTGCTGGGTTTGAGCCTGCCACTTTTGAACTCTCGCTTGCTGAGGTGTTCCAGCGAGTGTCTCTGTAGATCTAAGAAAACTGGGCTGGCAACATGTAATGATTAAAAGAGACTGATTAAAACTAACTAAAACTCAGGTGAGATGAGAGAGAGACAGATTATTTGCAGAGGAGGACTCATTATAGTGGGGGTTGTGGAATCAGGCTTTCCCACAAAGGGGGACACATATACTCCAATGACAAAACGTTGACAAATAGTGTGAGAATGTAAACCTATTCATCAAAAGCACAGCAGAAGAGCCAGGTTTTAAGGTCCTATTAAAAGGTTTCTAAGGTAGGGGTAAGATGGCTGGGATTTCTGGGAGCTGAAGTCCAAAACACCTGGAGGCCCAAAGGTTGGCAACCACTGTAGCTGTTCCTTGTGTTACAAGATGTGGCTGAATGAAATTCATAATGACATTTGTGTGGTAAAGTTCAAAGCCGTGGTCGTTTTACAAGGTCTTTAGCCTTTTCTGCTAAAGATTGCTGGCTGCCTAACCAAACTACAACTCCAAGGATTTCACAGCATTGAGCCATGGCAATTAAAGGGGTGGTAAAGGTATAGATTTCCCCTTGACATTAAGTCTAGTTGTGTGAGTATGTGGAGTGGTGCTCATCTCCATTTCTACTCATCTCCATTTCTAAGCCAAAGAGCCAGTGTTATTTGTAGACACCCCCAAGGTCATGTGGCTGGCATGACTGCATGGTGTGCAGTTACCTTCTCGCCAAAGCGGTACCTATTAATCTCACATTTGCATGTTTTCAAACTGCTAGGTTGGCAGAAGCTGGGGCTAACAGCAGGAGCTCACTCCATTCCCTGGATTCGAATCACTGACCTTTTGGTCAACAAGTTCAGCAGCTCTGCTGTTTGACTCACAGTGCCAGCATAGGCTCTGGTGTAAAGCTGCATAAATTTTACATATTCTGGAAATTTAATAAAATTCCTGCATTCAAGTGGATAAATTCATCCTGAGAGAACAAAGTTGATAGTATCTTTTGTAAACTGGGACTGCATCTACACTTCAGAATTAATGCCCTTTGATACCATTGCCATGACTCAATGCTGTGGAATCATGGAAGTTGTAGTTTTACAAGGTCGTTAGCCTTCTCTTTCAAAGAGTGCTGAGGCCTCACCAAAAGTTTAGTTGCTGGATTATTTGAGAAAGGCAGAAATGTGTGTTTGTGCACACATCTGTACATAATGATGAGGAATTTAAAACTGTACTTCATTTCCCTCTCTAGGTGAAGGAGAGTAATTACCGTGGCCATGGAGATAGTGTGGATCAGTTGTGCTGGCACCCCAGTAACCCTGACTTATTTGTCACGGCATCTGGAGATAAAACCATTCGTATCTGGGATGTCCGCACCACTAAGTGCATTGCCACAGTGAACACCAAAGGTAAATGACACTAATCTTAGTTGAAGAATATCTGTCTTTTGCAAGTATTTGATCATGTAATTGGGGGAGTACTAAAATAAGAAATTAATCCTGAGAAGACATCACTTTTTAATTGCACTTTTAACCCATGTAGATCTCTCTCCATCAGATCTTTTCCCCTAAAAAGTGGGCTGAGCTGAAACTGTATTTTACTCTTGTTATGTTTTAGAAATGTTACTTGAACAGTGTCCAAGTAACATCATCTTCTGAGGCTTAGGTCTGAAAGGCTGTCCCGAGCCCCCATGTCTCCTTGTATTAGTTAACACAGGTTTCAAAATCCTTAAAAGAGGACAATCTGGTGATTTCTCCCAAGTTGTGCATTTCCTTGCAGAAGAGGTTTCTTGGCTCTGTCCAGTTTTTCTACTGTGACTTTGTTGCTGTACTTTGCCACAGAACCAGCCTTTGATTTCCAGGTGCAGAAGTTTCTGTGTCTTGCATGGCTTTCACACAGGTAGAAACACGGTCTGCTCAAGTTCCCTTTCCTTTTCACCCCAGGGGAGAACATTAACATCTGCTGGAGCCCCGATGGTCAGACTATTGCAGTAGGGAACAAAGATGATGTTGTCACCTTCATTGATGCTAAGACTCACCGATCCAAAGCAGAAGAACAGTTCAAATTTGAGGTGAATGAGATCTCTTGGAACAATGACAACAACATGTTTTTCCTCACCAATGGCAACGGTTGCATCAATATCCTCAGGTACCCTCAGCATGGCCTTTTCTAGGCAGCAAGTGAGTTGCCTGTCTTATCTTTTGGTTTAGGAGTGGCGTGGGGGGAAAAGGGCTTTTGTTATCAGTCTTCTATATTTCTTAATGGTGTATTGAGGGTCCAATTTTTTTTTGCTTCCTCTGGTTTTGGGAATATGCTATGATGTCAGTTACTAAGTTGCAAACAGCAATCTGTATCTTTGGGGACTTTTGGTGAACATTTTTTTCTCATTTTCTGAGCTTCACATTTAAGAGCAATATGGATCAGCAAAGTATCTAGGGAGGAATCCAACTGCATTCATTGTCTAACATATTTCCTACTTTTTGATAGTCTCTTGCACATTAGGGTACAGTATTTTTAGGCCCCAATAGTAAAGATTAAAACTCTTGCCCCCAGAATGATGGTTTTTGACAGTCCTTTGCTTCCTGAAGCTAGTTTTATGGAATCTCAGCTGTCTGTCCCCCCCCCCCCCACCACCACCACTACCACCACATACAAAATCCAGAATATACTAATCAGAGTGAATATTTATGATCAGTTAATGATAGATGCTCAGGTGGATAATTTCTGGCTCTGTCACATAAGGCCTTTAAAAAGAATATTTTTCGTTACTTCATCTGTACGTTAGACCTCTATTTTAGATCCCCCCATCCCCTGACCCCAGCTTACCTCACCACCGGTTGTTTTGGAAGACTGCATGATTGCCACCTCCTTTTACAACCTTTCCCAGAGAGGAATGTTGGAGGAAGATGTTTTTTGTGCAGCTATCAACTGTTTTCCATGTTGAACATGCACTCTTGGGAAATTCTGGCTCGAAGAAATTACAGAGACATCCCAATGGAGGGACAAGCAGTTGCTTCAAGAAATTTGAGCTCCTCCTGATACCATTGTTTTCCACTGTTCACAATTTTCTTGTGCTAATGCCATGTCTATGGCTTTCCTCTGTATCTTAGTCAACACAAAGAACCAGTGCTGTGCCTTACCACTTTGTACATGATACCTTCTATGTGGAAAGTGGATAATGTGATGGATTCTCCTTTATTGGGGGCATTTAAACAGAGATAAGATGGCCATCTCTCAGAAATGCTTTAGGTTGGTATTCCTGAATGGGAGGAGCCTGGACTAATCTACATTGGCCATTTAATGCCGTTTGAAGCTAGCAGCTAGATTAAAGCATACTAAAGCAAGCTCTTAATGTGCATCAGTGCTGTGTGGTTTGTGTAATCATCATTTGCGCCTCAAACTGGTTCCAATGTTTCTTATGTAATCATTGGTACAGTGAAACAACTTTCTTCAATACTGGTTTGAAACTGTATTAAGTTGTCAGTGTAGATGGACCTAAGTGACTATTAGAATTCATTTCCAGTTCTGTGATTTTGGTTGAAAGGACTGTTCTTCAGTTTCTTTCCAACATCATCTCTTTCTTTTTTTTCATAGCTACCCAGAATTGAAACCTATTCAGTCGATTAATGCCCACCCCTCAAACTGTATCTGTATCAAATTTGATCCAACGGGCAAATATTTTGCTACGGGAAGTGCTGATGCACTGGTTAGCCTCTGGGATGTGGACGAGCTGGTGTGTGTGCGATGCTTCTCTAGGTACGTTGTCTTGATCTGTGCTAGGTGTCCTTTTTAGCATTTGGTGCTGCAGATATTTCTACAATGTTCCCCTGCCACAGATATGTTGGACTGCAACTCTCATTATCCTCAGTAAGCAATACATGGCCAGTAGCCATGAAGGCTGGAATTTATGGGGAATGCAGCCGACTATATTGAGGAGGTCCAAGGTGAAATAAGAATGTAATGTAATACACATTGGAGAAAGAAATTCCAACTTTGTTTCTGTGTTGATGTAATTTGATGAGAGTGTATTTTCCAGGATAGATGTTAGAGTAATTAACATTTTAGTGAAAGTGTTAACACACTTTGTTCACTGGCAGGGCAAGCTGACTTTTAAATCAAGATAGTTTTAAGTTATCAAACTAAAACTGATTTAAATCACATTTTACATTTTTTAAAATTCATCTATTTCCTGAACAATCAAGCATATTGTAATAGCTAAAACATATTGCTCATTCTAAGCTGAGACTATCAGCAGCTGTCTTTCTTCATGCAGCTCATGAAGAGTTCTTTTCTTAATGACAAATGTGCATCTAAGTATTTCTTTTGCAAGGACTTCAAACAAGATTACTTAATTTGAAAACTTTGGGCAGAATGAAGGATTTGTAATGCATGCATATGTGTGTGTCTGTAAATGTGTGTGTGTATATTCCATATTTCATCGCATAATAGTCACCATCACATAATATAACCTCATCACATAATATAACCTCATCACACACACCAAATTCAGTGTTTCAAAACACTTTGAGCCTGTTTTGGGGACAGAGCCCCACACCATGCATCACATGACATTGTGTGACTTCTGGCGTAGGCCCCACCACCAACCGGGATGGAAGCTTCCTTGGACACCTCCCTCACAACATGGAAGGTTTATCATGTTGTGCTGACTTCAATGTAGCCAGCACAGATCCTCCCCAGAAGGGCGGTGCTTCCCATGTGTGATGGGGAAAGTATCGCTGAGAGGGAGCTGTGCGAGGAGTGACAGATTTGTCCTGCTTCCCCTCTCTTTCCTCCTGGCCTTTGTGATAAGGTTGTTTGTTGCACTCCCATTTTTTTGGGTCCTGGTTTCAGTATTTTCAAATTTCTCAGATGACATTCGCATCCTTGATTTACCAGTAGGCAGACTCCACACTGTAAATGCCAATCTGCTTAGAATTTAGAATTCATGGCAGATTGGATTAAAACTATGTGGAACAGAAGGCCAGGTGTACAGCAGAAAGAGCTGAATTTGCTAGTTTTGGACAATTTCGGACATCATATTGTCAAGGATCTCTGAACAAACCTCTGAAGAGGCTTACCACAGATCCAGGCAAGATGTCAGAAGAAAATGCTACTGGAACATGGCCATACAGCCCAAAAAGCTCACAACAACCCAGTGATTCCAGCCATGAAAACCTTTGACAGCACAAGAAAGACTAAAATGTTTAACGATGTAAATTTACTGTTGTATATGTTCTGAAGTTGTTTTCAACATAGTTTTATTAAAATGTTACAGTTTCAGAACAAAAAAAAGATTTTTTCCCCTCACGTAATAGTCAGGAAAGTGTGACTATTATGTGATGAAATATGGTATAAACATACATACATACAGGATTTATTTACCCTAAGTGTCGTAGTTTCCAGTTTAGGCAGCATTACAAAAGAAATAGACAGGATACCAGTTCAAGAGCTCTCATCATCACTTGTTTTCACTTCTCACTTTCTTCCCGCTTCCATCTTTCAGGCTTGATTGGCCTGTGAGGACATTGAGCTTCAGCCATGATGGAAAAATGCTGGCATCAGCTTCTGAAGATCATTTCATTGATATTGCTGAAGTAGAAACAGGTAATTTGTACTGTTCCCTTTGCCTGTCATGATGATCATTTGAGCTACAATGCTAAACACTGTTACTCAGGACAACCTTTGAGCAGACTTACTTTTGATTAAATGCACAGAATTAAGATATATTTGAATCATCTGGAGGAAGTACAGTAGGTTTCCCTTAACCTAGTTCCAAACAGTCTTAACAACAGTGTACATCTGGTTTGGGAAAATACAGGCAAATGATCCAGGGGTGGCCTACAGTGAGGATGCTAAGTTGCTGTGGTTTTCAGAACATAGTTTATAATATAAGAGCTTATGCTACATCCCTGTGATATAGTTATATCATTAATTCATGTTGGATACTGTTGTAAATAGTTTTAAAAGCTTTTAAAGCTTTTAAATCTGTTTTTAATTTAATAGTATGTTTAATATATTTTAGCTCAGTTAAGGTATTTATATTGTTTTAAACAGTTTCACTTGTTTTAATGTTTGTGAGCTGTCCTGAGATTGTGATATAGAGAGGAGTATAACTATTCTAGTGCGCGAATCAAATATGTCCGGAAATAATGCTTAAAATCCATCCTTGGGCTGATTTTTAAAACAAATTTGTGCTGCAAAATGTAAGGCTCATTGCATTGCCGGTGTATGTGTGTATGTATGGTTGTGATGGATCAAGGAGAGAATGTCTCAGCTGTTTTGGTGAGTCTCTAACTTAGGCCTGCACATCCTGTGGCCCTCCAGTTGGACGTCAGCTCCCATAATTCCTGACCATAGGGCAAACTGTCTAGGGTTTCTAGGAGTTGGAGGCCTAAATAGCTGGAGAGCCACAGGTTGAAGAAGCCTGCTCTAGCTGTTGCTTCATCTTTTGCTTTGCCTTTCAGGGGAGAAGCTCTGGGAAGTGCAGTGTGAGTCTCCCACCTTCACTGTAGCCTGGCATCCCAAGCGCCCACTGCTGGCTTTTGCCTGTGACGACAAAGATGGGAAATACGACAGTAGCAGGGAAGCTGGCACTGTGAAGCTCTTTGGTCTCCCCAATGACTCCTAACAGGAGCTTCCTGCAGATGCTTGTACTGATGACTTGGGATTCTGAGCAGGATGTTCACAAACTACACTTGCTTTGTTCTGTAAGGGGTTTATTGCCTTTTCTAGAGGAAGAACAGTACAAGGGCTTGGGGTTTTCTTGCCCAATAGGCCTTATTTTTGAAGCTTTTGTATATTGCCCAACTGGAAGGAACAAAAGCTGGCTGGCTAAATCCCCATTCACTGTCTAGGAAAGTTGTTGTTTCAAAACACAGGGGATGCAGCTGCTGATGTATTGGTATATTTGTATGCTGTATCTTCCATTGGGAATCCAGTCCCCGTCTTCTAGTTACTCAGGGAGTTAGCAGGCAAAAACCTGAAAATCTGGGTTACTGTGTCATTGTCATCCCCTTGTGTCTGTCTTGGAATACGGAAAGATAAGAGTTAAGTAGGCTTCCTGCAGCTACATTTAGAAACGATCCCTTTTCTCCTTGAAAGGATGATTAACTCATCCATTTGAAGACCATGTGTGAGTCAGTTATATTCCTCTTGCACCTTGGGACAGTGGACAGAGCTGGGATGGGAAATGGGAATATTTTTATATGAGCCTGTTTTTTGTGTCTTTGATAACCTTGTTCAGATTAATAAATAGAGAACTTTAGTGTACTGTAGTTTTAAAAGTGCAATGCACTGAACTTATCATTAAAAGGACAGAAAATAATGTCACTCTTAAGAATACCAAGTGTGTGTGTTCCTTTTAATCTCATCTAGGGACTTGATTTCATGACACAATGCTTCTTGATGGATTGGTTATGTGCTTACATCAGTGAAAACAAGTTCAAAACTCTTTCAGAATATTTCCTAAACTATGACCATTTAGAAGCAATTTAAAGTGGAAGGGATATGCTTTAAAAATTCAGCAAACATTGACAGCTAAACATGTAATCAAATTTCTCTGTGCTTATGGTTCAGCATCAATAGTGTATTCCTGTGAACAGAGATTAAAATCACAGAATCATTTCAGATCTGGCTGTAAACATGTTCTTTTACATCTACCAGTCCCTGCTACTCCTAGTATATTTTGAGTTGTTTCCATGGTATTGAGACAACATGCATTTGATCAAATCTGACCATACTTTATAGAACTAGGAGAAGTTCATAGTGAACTCAGTTGTCTTAAGTGCTGCTCAGATATAGGCAAAATATAATATAATTGTATTTTACTTGAAGGAAGGAGGTGTGAAAATTAAAGGAACACCAACCATTTAAAATAAGCGGTTGACACCATACGACTTGGACTAATTACTGAAGAAAGTCAAAGATAGGTTTCCAGCTGAACATTCTGAGAACAAAAATCATGGCCACAGATGATTTACATACATAACTTCATAAAGTAGAAGATGAAGTCATTAGTCATTAATCAGAATGGAATCTACAGTCAAGAAATCAGAAGATTAGGATTTCGAAGGGTATCTATAAATGTACTAGACAAGACCTTGAAGTATCAATATATATATTTGAATACTAAAGCTAGGATTGTTCATGCCATCATATCTCTCATTTCTAAACATGGTTGCGAAAGCTGTATGATGAAGGTAGCTGATAGGAAAAAAGATACACTTATTTGGAATGTAGTGCTGGAGAAGAGTTCTTGGATGCCAAAAAGTCAAACCAATGGGCCCTAGAGAAAATCAAGAATCATAGAGTTGAAAGAGACCACAAAGGCCTGATATCCCTAGAGACCAAGAGGACTAAACTTGGCTGATATACTTTGGCCATAATGTGTGAAGACATGACCCGCTAGAGAAGACAATACTTTGTAAAGTAAAAGGCAGTATGAAAAGAGGAAGACCACAATTCAGGTGGATAGACTCAACCAAGAAAGCCACAACCCTGAGTCTGCAATACCTGAACAGATCTGTTGGTGATGGGGTGAGTTGGAGGTCTCTCTCTTATAGGGTTGACCAGCAGTTAACAGCTTCTTGGAGAAACCAAGATATGTAAAAGTATTTTAAAAGAAACAAATGGGGGGGGGGGGAGTCCTCTAGTCAGTCCATTGGTAAATGATAGTTAGCTGGAATGCGAAACTGGATCATTCCAAATGTCATGTAATTGAAGGACTGATTGACTTCACTTCTTTCCTATTCCCTTGTTATTTTTCAATTTTTATTTTCTATTTTTCTCAAACAGTACCCTACCTTTTCATAAAGTCTGGATTGGTAAATTACAGTTTTTTTCAAGACCAGAACTGTAAAACCTTCAAATGTTATGGACAGTTACCACTTTTCCTCCTGCCCCTTCAGACATCTTTCAATTTTTAAAATATCCCTGTGATTATCTTATCTATTTGTGTGCTCAGGGCAATGCACATATGATTTCTCCCAGCTCTTACTTATTTCAAGCTATTATGAACCTATGTTCTGGTCATTTTGCTGTGGATTGTAAAAAGACTTTGAGAGGCACACCTAGTGAATATGGTTGTTACATTCTTTAATAATGCTTATCAGTCTGGGGGAAAAATTAAAATGATGACCTATACACATTTCAAATAAAATCTAGTGTGAATGGTCAATACTTCTAAATCTGAAGACCAAGAAGGTGAAACACACCAAAATAAATATTGTCCTTACTACTATTTTCAAACCATCAAATAAATCCCTGCTTTCCCTTCAGCTTCTCTGGTTATTATATAGTATCTGCCTTAGCAGGTAATTTCCAGTGGAGGGCAGTGTGAACCTTGTAAACAGATATTTCATATATTTATCAGCTTTGATACTGACTTACTCAACTTGGCATTTGTTTGTCTGTGGTTCTCCTTTTTTCTCTTTCTATTGAATCAAGTGGTGGTTTATTTAGAAGTCCCACTTTTTGTTTGATTTTCAAAATATTTTATACCACCTGACATGTTATCTTTTCAATGTGATGAACAAGAGAAAAATACCAGTGTAAAGTAACATTCAAATAAAATACAATGATGCTAAATCTCAATTTAAAAATAGCTGTGCTCCATAACAAAAGCACAAATTCCACAATTGGACAAATGCTGAGTTAAGCAGAAAGGTCTTCATCATGCATTAAAACAATAAAGGCAGGGAGGCTGCTTCTGGAGTTTGTCACTACAGAGAAAGTTTTGCCCCTATTCATTGCTAAATGAACATCTGCCAGGGGCTCTGAATATGATCACAGATCAGAATCCAATGGTAACAGTAAAAGTTAAAGCTTTTGTGCCGCAGCGCTCGCTTGTTGGCAAAAAAATGACATCATAAACTTAAGGGAATTTTTCCTGTATTTAATAGTATTGTATAATCTTGCTGGGAATGCTGTTTGTTTGGTTCATCTTGTTTTTTGTCTGCTCTGTTGATTGTAATAAATTATTCACATCACCAAATTTGAGCATTGCAACAGAAGGTCACTGTGCTGTTCTATACTCTTGTGCAAATATTGAGTTTCAGATCCATATACAGATCTATATTCTTGAAGACCATATAGTCATGATTGTGGCACTTTTGCCATGATTGCAAAAGTTTGCTACTCCAACTATAATGGCCACCAGCTGCTGTGAGTGATGGAGGTTCACGCTGTTGATTGGAGCACAGCAGATTGATCTTTCCATTTCCCTCCCGCCAGAAGGAGAGAAATAGTGGGGATCCTCTTTCTGATATTGCCTTGAAGATCATTGACAGGAATGGGGTGGAAACAACATACTGCGGTACCCTGATTAACATGAGAACAGAGCTCCATCGCTCGCACCTTCTAGTGACCATTAATGTAGGTTGGGGGTGGTCAAACCAGAAGACATTATTTAGTTTAGTATAATTAAGTTTACTTAACTAAATAGCCAATCTAGGATCTCATCCCTGGTTGAGTATTTGAATGGAATGATTTGTGTTGAACTAGTTAAATATAATTAGAAAAGACAATGTGAAGGGACATTATCATTATTAGTGTCCCTTATGCAGGAGAGACACCATTGTGTCCAGTGCAGAGGTGCAGGAATGGCAATGTACCACCAGGGGGGACTGGCAAACCATACCTCCAGGGAAACATGGCAGATTCCAGTCCTCTGACACTTATGTTTCACACCTTTCTGGCAAGGGGATGCAGGGGGCATCATGACCTGGGACTGATAGTAGGCTATAGGCTACCTCACCTTAGGATGAGCTCACCTCTAGCCAATCACTCTGCCAATGATGTAATCCAACTCACTGTTACTATGCAAGCTTTACAAAGAGCACAAGAAAGATATATAAACAGCTTGGCTAGTCAATAAACCTTTGAGATCACCATCACCCTCCTGACTGCCTGTCTTCTTTATCGTCGCTACAACAATGAACTTAACTGTCCTAAACCACAAACTCCTTTGCTTCACTGTTTCATCTGTCATGCAACTTTTCACTCATATGAAAACTCATATTTCTGAATAGCTTCTATATTCAACTGTTATGCACACCAAATTTTAAAATCCAAAGTCCTGAACACTCTTAGGCATGACCACATGCTCTAGAACGTAATTGCTTACTTTTGTAGCCACTTTCCTTTCAAGGTTATTTTAGATGTTTGATAGCTGATTTCGTTGCCCAGTGTGGCCCTATCTATCAGAGACAAACCTGGGCTCTGGCCGTGTCAAAGGCTGCTCAGGGAGTCTGATTATATTGATGATCATCACATGTCACCATTCCATGACAATGGCCAGCTGAGTGATGGCATGAAGAAACTTTTCTGTTGCTAATTTGAGGCAGCCAGTGCCTATTTGAATTGCCAGATCCTTGAGTCTGGTCCTGAAATCTCTTCCAGTTTTCAGTCCAATGGAGAAGAATATCAGGGTGGGAAGACTACCTTGAAAAGAACATGTATATATTTTCTTCATTTGTTAGACTAGGTGTTTGTTTTTTTAAATTACAAATTCTATGGAATTGTCATTAATGCTGAATGATATCACAACTGTAACATCACTTTCCTAACATCCCCAGGACTTCATCTTCTGACATCACTTAAGCTGAAATCTCAAAACCTGGGACATTCCTAACCTGGCATTTATAATACCCATGTAATGTTTGGTAGTCACTGTGCTATTCAGTGAAAACTGCTGCTTAGGGAGTACTGGATGTCTAGGCAACACCAAAATAAAAAAAAATCTGCTATCACAACCCTGGCTACACTAGCATAAAGACCCAAGAGAACTTTCAACCTTGATTCTATACCAGAGATAGGATCAGAGCTGGGCCAACTATGGAAACTTTTATTTGGGATGGTATTAATCACACTCAACCTATTATGTGGTGTGCCATGGAGATCAATGCAACATTTTCAGTTTGACATTGATACCTAAACTGAAAATTAAAGTCTTATTGCTGATTTAAGATACCGGTTAGAAGACCCTAGATTAGATCCTCTAAGAATTATACCTTCCTGTTCCAAATAAGATAAATACATATGTTTCTATAATATAATAGATACTATGTGGAAGACCCCACCTTCAGACTTGTAATGAAAAGCCATGTCCTTCTCCCTCAATGCAGACATACTTGTGTTTGCTTGGTATTACGTTTACATGGGCATATGCACACTTGTCTTTCATGCATATATGCAGGGATGTGGTCAGTTGCTGCAAGGATTTTGTGCCTCCTGCAGAAACTTTTTTGGATAGTTCTAGGACTGAGCCAATTAAAATCCAATCCACATTTTGCCTCAATTGTTCCCTCCCAGGCCAGCTGCTACATTAGTAAGATCTGTTAAGA